TGGATATTGTACTTATGAACTACGTTTTGTGTCATATACTGTGTCTGTTTTAATAAATGTGTGACATATTTCTGATATAATGTATCTGCTGTACCACGTAGACACTCTGGCAGAGGTTATGTGATATAATGTTTAACAACAATTAAAGTGAATGTCTGTTTTCCATAGATGCACCAGGTCTTGCTGCTTCCTGTTGTGCGGATTATTACAACAAAAGGATCCCACTGAGTCAGATTGTCTCCTTCTACGAGACTAACCCCTCCTGCCCCCTAAACGCATTAGTGTGAGTGTTTATTTCTCATTGATATCATATGTTATCTGGAACATGTGCATTGTCTGTTGGATGATGTAAATTTTCTTTTTGATTGTCTACAGGTTTGTGACCAACAGAAACCGGTCTTTCTGTGTAAATCCAGATGAGGCCTGGGTCAGTACCCATGTCAGTAAGCTGGACAACAGGAAGACCACTGACTGACAACAGCATCCACAAAAACAGCCGAGACCATCAGTCACAGCACCAACCTCCAGTCTGACACTGAAGGACTGACCAGAGGAGGAGATGAAACTCCTGATGTCAGATTGTTCACATCAGCCAATATTTTAGCATGTTTTGTGTTTTGTCTCAATTTCTACCTTTATTCTTGTCAGATATATGCATAATATATTTATATTCATTTGCTTGGGTAATATACTGTACAGATGTCTTAATACTTGTTTGCTTGCATGGAATTCATGTATTCAGTTTATCTCCAAGTATGAATAAATATTTCTTGCATGAGCTGTTCTTGAAGTTCTTTTTTCTAACGTGAGATAATAATACAATTTTTTTTATTCAGCTGCATGGTTCTTAAAGGTGTAGGTTGCTAACATAATATGCTTTTCGTAAGCATACCGCCATTGCATTATTTATGTCAATTATACAAGTGATTTTTACTTAAAGTTAATATTTTAAGTCAAATCCTATTTCCAGCAAATACAGTCCATACAATTTTAAGCTCTTTTCCGATATGTAGAAATGGGCAATTTCGGCACACAGGATCGATCCATTCCGAAGACGTCTGAAACTTCTGGTCTCGATACAGTTTACATAGTGTTTCGAAACATCAGTCACATGACCGCCGTGTCATTGTTCACGGCAGGAGAAAAAAACCTACTAAAAAAAAAACCCCGGAAAAAATCGGTGCGTGTTGGGTGTTTGTGGCGTTTTGGTTTGAGCGAGCAGTTTGGCGATTATTATTATTTTAAATCCAGTTGTATTAGTGAAACAGGTTAGCAGTTAGTGTGATTTAGGGATAAGTATAGTGAGGGACATATAGTACAGTAGGTATAATATCAAGGTTTTGCTTAGATTCAATTAGAAACATAAATGAAAAAGCTAGAGTACACATAGACTAGGGTGACCAGACAAGACAAGGCTAAAGAGGAGGGGGCTCAACACACATCCCTGAGGGGTTCCCGTGTTAAGAATGATGGTGCTGGATGTGTTACTGCCGGCCCGTACTGCTTGTGGTCTTCCGGTAAGGAAATCCAGCAACCGGTTTCACAGTGAGGTGTTGAGCCCCAGCTGGACCAGTTTTTGACTGAGCTGTTGGGGGATTATAGTGTTAAATGCTGAACTGAAGTCTATGAACAGCATTCGGACGTATGCGTCTTTTTTATCCAGATGTGTGAGTGCTGAATGGAGTGCAGTGAGGATGGCGTCATCGTCGAGTGGTTGGGCCGATACGCAAACTGGAAGGGGTCCAAGGAGGGGGGCAGGACAGACTTAATGTGCTGCACGACTAGTCGTTCAAAGCACTTCATGAGGATTGGAGTAAGTGCAACAGGACGGTAGTTGTTAAAACAGGAGGGAGATGACTTTTTTGGGACTGGAATAATGGTGGTGG